ACTGTGGCACTACCCACATTCTGCTTGGCGGCCAAGAAGCGGGCAGGTTCCCTGACGTTGTCAGCCAGCAGGAAGGCACCCTCCTCTAGCACGTCCAGGAGCATGGTGGCCGTGTGCACCTGCTCTGTGGCATTCATGTCCTTCCAGGACTCAAGAGCCTCCGGCCGCAGCAGGTTGTCCACTGTCTCCACCACAGCCTGCAAGGTTGGGGGGCAGTACTGTGATTGCCCCTAATCCTCCAGTTCCTCATGCTGGGGTCTGTGTCTCGTCCTAACCTCCACTCCCAGTGCCCCCGGCGCCTGCACAGGAGCAGCGAGGGCTGTGCCATGCCCCTTGGCCGGCAGAAGCCCCTGGGCCTCACCTTGATGTAGTCCTTGCAGGTTCTCTCCCGCTTGTGCATCTACAGGAAGAGATGGAGGTGCTGTCAGGCCTGGCCTCCCAGCCCCACTCCTCCAACCCCGACACTCACGTTTGGGCCTTGGGGAGCTTGCTCTTCTGCCTCTGCTACTGACCTGGGGCTAGGCTATGAGCAAGAGCCACTCCTAAGGGATCTCCCACCCCCAGGACCATGCAGGGCAGTCCATAAGGGAGACCTAGTAGGCCTGGGGTCCATCCTTCCTCTCTGATCACCATGGGTGGCAGCTCTGTGGTACCAGGCTAGGTATTTCCTAAGTGCCCAAGGCAGTGCCCCCTGCCCCCTTGGCCCTGCTGCCAGGCCCACCTTGTTGTAGTTCTTGCCAGCTGACTCGCGCTCGATGGGCCTCAGGGCCTGCAGCTGGGCATCCAGGATGTCCAGCAGTTGCTCCATCAGCTTCACAGAGGAGGACACATCACCCGCATAGATAGAGCCCCGGGTGTGGCGGGCCAGCTCGCTGGCAATATTGGCTGCATTCTCCCCGCTCTTGATCTGCGTGAGGCGGGAGTGTCAGCCCCTGCGCTCTGTCAGGGACCATCTGGCTTCCCACGCAGTCCCTCCTCACAGACCCAGCCTGCTGAGCCCCTCTCATCCCTCTCTCTGCTGCCCCTTCTCCCTGTCTGCCCTCTCCCTCCCCATCTCTCTCTGCTCCCTCTGTAGGCTCAGGAGTGGACCCCACAGTCCTGCCTCCCAGAACTGCTGGCCCCGGTTTGTCTCGCCAGTTGTTCACTGTCCCCACTGTGCCCAAGGCCTGCTGTGTGAGCACACGGCCTGCCTGGGAGGGGCAGCTGCTGCTGGTACCTTCTGGGCCACCTGGTTGACCCAGGGGGAGGTGCAGTTGCTGAGGTCAGGGCCCCGGGGGTTCCAGAGCCCCAGGGCTGGTAGACACTGGAAGGAGGCAATTCCTGTAAGGACAGACAGAAACAGAGAAGGGAGCCACAGGGAAGGAGAGGAGAATGGGCCAAAGCAGGGAGAAAGGAGATGACAAAGAGGGATGAGTGGGTGAGGGGAACACGGAAGACCAGATATGAAGTGGGCCAGTCAAGAGAAGTGTCACTCTAAGGTGACATAAGCTACCCCTACTTCCCCTCCCTCTTGGCTCCCCTTCCATCTTTGCCTACCATGTTTGGAACCTTCTATCAAGGCCCACCTCGGAAGCCCCACCACTTCCCCCATGAAGCCTCTTCTGATCCTCCCCTCAGATCCCTGGAGCGTGTGGGCCCGGCCCCACCCCCTCGTCACTTCAGCTGCTCTCTGTCTTGTCACCAGCTGCTCCTAGGCCTGTTCCATTTCAGCCTAAGCCCAGGACCCAAGTCATCTCCTATGGGCTCCCTGCAGGGTCCACCCAAGGTTCTGCATACAGCAGGTGCTTAGTATTGTAGGCAGGGAACAGGGTAGCGAGGGGGCAGTGTCTGAGCTGCTGCTGCGTTCTAGGAGCTCTGAGGCTCCAGCTGCAGACATCAGATGTGACCCCGCATAAAGCCCACATTGGCAAGAGATGGACAAGGTAAGTGCATCTATGCTAAGCTGAGCGATTGGGCATATCCCCTGTCCCTTCCCTGGCCAGACCAAGCCAGCTGCGGTGGAGGTAACTTTGGCTTCAGTACTCACCTCGAGTCCCCTTGGGGCAGGGCCTCTCCACCAGCATGCCCTGCTGGGTAGCTGGCCACTGGACCCGCCGCACCTCTCGAGGTTCACAGAAGAGCTCTGGGGACACATGCAGATTGGGGGCTGGGGGCCGCCGGGTGCTGGGGGCTGGGGCAGTGGCTGGAGGTAGGTCAGGTCCCAGCTGGTTGATGGCACCCACGGGGTGTGTGGTGAGAGGTGCCCGGCGGAGTGGGGTGGTGGCTGCGGGCGAGGCCGTACTGGTCAGGGGTGTGGGCCGGGCAGTGGTGGTTGTGCTGAG